TCTACATTTTTGATCTTTGCTGTTATTGCTGGTGTGAGATGATATCTCATTGTTGTTTTGATTTGCATCTCTCTAATGGCTAGTGATTGTGAACATTTCTTCATGTGTTTGTTGGCTGCCTATATCTCCTCCCTGGTGAAGTATCTGTTCATGTCCTGTGCCCATTTTTTAATTGGGTTATTTGTCTTTTTCTTGTAGAAGTGTTGTAGTTTCCTATGTATTTTAGAAATAAGTCCCTTGTCTGATATGTCATTGCAAAAGATTTTTTCCCATTCTGTGGGTTCCCTTTTTACTGTTCTGGTAAAGTCTTTTGATTCACATAAGTTTTAAATTTTTAGTATGTCCCACTCATCTATTTTGTCTACTTTTGTTTGTGTAGTTTTTACTATGTTTTGGTAGTCTGTGTATTGGTAGTTTTGGCAGTCTGTGTATTCCCTGAATTTGTCCCTATATTTTCATTGATGGCCTTCATAATTCTGGGATTTCATAAGGTTTTTAATTTCTAAATATTTGGAAGCAGTCCATCTCTCTTTTTCATTGTTTTAGTCTGGAAGCTCAGCTGACACTTGTCTTCCCTGTGTGACCCTAGTGGTATTTAAAATACTGGTGGCATACCTTCCAGAATCGCTACACATAAGCCACCACAGTACGACAGAGACGAGCGGTTATGAGTAGGATCGTTATGAGTAGGAATCAACTCAGCGACACCTCGCAGCTGCCCAAACGGGTGCTGGTGGCTGTGTAGTATATACACACTGGACTTCTAAGCACAAGATTGGCAGTTTAAACACACTAGCTGCTCTGCAGGAGAAAGGCAAGGATTTCCCTTCCCAGAAAGATTTGCAGCCTGGAAAACCCTACAGAGGGTTGCTGACTCCAAGGTAGTAGGTTGAGTTTGGGTTTATTATTTGGTTGCAGCTCCCTAAACAAATACAAGACTTTGAACCTCTCTGAGGGTTCAAATCCCGCGATATCTGGGTACCAATCATTGGCGAGGTGGTACCGGCTTGTCATTAGCTGCCGCCCACCAGAAGCCCATGCTATCCTGGGCTTGTGGCTCAGGGTGTTGAGGCTTCAAAGCGTTACTTTTGGACTGTAGGCCTAGAAATTGGGGTGTGGGCGGGGACCGGCAGTGTCCCCAATGACTGCTACTGAGTGCCTCTGGGAAAGACAGAACTGCTGTCCCTGTGATAGGTACGGCCATGCTGGGAAGTGTGAGTGCTTATTCCTCGCAGATGCAGTTGGAGTCTCACCCCAGCCCCAAATAAGTATACCAGGTGTCCCAAAGCACAGCAGAAGCCTTGATCTAGTGAGGGGCCCTTCTGTACATCGACACACTTCTGAGTAGGTCTGATTCTGAGTAGAGCCTCGGTTGTCAGAAATTCCATCCTCCTCGTGGCAGTGGTAACATGGGGGAGATGGCATCGAGGAAATCCCGGGTGGAAGTTTGGAGAGTCAGATTCTTGTTTATCTCAGTCACTTAGCTTGGGAAAGTTGTATTACAGTGATGTGACTTATACAGGGTCTCATTTTTATGATGGCATTCCATTTCAGTACTCCACATGACAATAGTCAGAGTCCCACTTAATCTTTTTTAGTTTGTTTACTTTTTGTTGTTAAGTGCTGTTGAGTTGGTTCTGACTCATAGTTCTGGTAAAGTAGTGGTTATGAGTTGGGATGCAGTTCGAAACTACTGACTCCACGGCACAACACCATCACTATATTTCTGAGGAGCGGCTAGTGAGTTTGAACCACCGACCTTTCAGTCCAGTGCTCATCCTATAGCGTAACACCCGGGCTCATCTGTTAGTTGTTGTTAAGTGCCATCGAGTCGGTTCCGATCCATAGAGACCATGAACAGGGTTTCCGAGGCTGTAAATCTTTACGGGAGCAGAAAGCCTCATCTTTCTCCCGTGGAGCAGCTGGTAGTTTCGAACTGCTGACCTTGTGGTTCACAGCCCCATTCGTAACCACTACGCTACCAGAACTCATCCTTAAAATGTTCTAGTTAGCTTCCCCTCCCTGCTCCATCACTCCAGTTCTCTGGGTTTTGTAAATGTTGAATGCTTTGTGGTTGCATTATTTCCAATGTATTCCTTCTTAGGCAAAGTTAGAAACCACAGTGGTATAAATATTAAAGAGTATTTCACTTCTTTCAGCATTGTCACTCCGTTTGGCAAACACAATGTCAAGCATTTGCAGCGTGTCAGACGTTGTTCAAACACCGGTAACCTTAAGAGTGTTCATTCTTGAAGAGGATTGTTAAAATAAAAATATCTAGGATTACGGATTTAATATGGCTGCATCTCTCTCCAGCTAATTGATTTTATGTAAATTACTTAACCTCTCTGTGCCTCATTGTTCTTACCGGTAAAACTGGACCTACTAATAGAATTTACCGCACAGTACTGGTATGAGAATTAGATGAATAAATAATTTAAATAGAGGATTTATAACGTGCCTTGACATACGAATTATATAGTGTTTGTTACTCTGATGTGTAATGTTGAAATGTTTTTCATATCAGATGCTTGTTTCAATAAAATAGTATTTTTTCATAAATGCTGGTAGACTGCCAGATGATTATAGGACACAATGAATTTTCTTGATTCCCCTTCTTCTTGAGTAAAGGTGGCAGAATGAAAACTTTTATTGTGACAAGTTTGAACAGTGATAACAAAAAATTTCTTATAAATGATCTCAAGTGAAATCTATAACTTATGAGAAAATTTATTTATTTATTTACTTTAAAGGACTAGTTTTCTGAATTACCAGTAACATTTAATTGACAAATATCATTCCAGTCTTTTTGACTTATAGTATCAGTCATATAAATTTTGGAAATAAGGGTACACTGGACTGCAGAGATGCTATATTGAACCGCAAGGTCGGAGTCTCAAGCTCACCAGCTGCTCCTTGGAAACCCTATGTAGAGTTGGAACTGAACTCAGTGGAACTTAACAAATAACAGAAACTAATAATTAGATGCCATTTTGTTTTGATATGATACAAACTTCGTGGTTTTAGTGAACGTATTTACTTAACAGAGCATAAACTTACTTTTGTAATGGAAGTTCTCCCAACTATAACTTCAATTTAAAAGCTCGCTGAAATCTACCTGTTTAGAGGAGTCTGAAATTCACATAGGTATAATTTGAATACAGTATTTTGAGTAAAATCTGGACTTTCAAAGTAAACTTTTGAATAAAGCAAGTTTCCTCATTCAACTTTTCATCAGACCTAAAATGTTACATAACAGTTTACATGTTTTTAGATATTGCCCAAAGAAAACTACCGTTTCTCTAGGTGGATTTATTGAAACTGTTTTCAGTTCTCACGTGATTTTAAGGAAATTAAATTAGGAAATTAATTTAAGGAAATTAAATTAAATTAAATTTCAGTTCTTACGTGAAATTAGGAAAATAATTTTACAGGTTACTCTATGTGAAATACTAGGATGTCTCTGATGGTTATCTAACTTGAAGTTATACTGTATTTTCCAACATTCCTACATTAACACTTTTTCAGTACTGTTGTTAAGTACTGTTGTTGTTAAGTATGGAGTCGGTTCCAACTCATAGTGACCCTGCACAGGGTTTCTGAGGCTGTAAATCTTTATGGGAGCAGAACGCCTCATCTTTCTCCCACGGAACGGCTGGTAGTTTCAAATGCCGACCTTGTGGTTAGCAGCCTGATTCGTAACCACTACACTACCAATGTTATACAACCAGATATTGAAGACTGTACTGTCAAAGAATTAGGTGTTTTCATTTTTAAAAAACATAATTCTTTGTGTTGAAATCACTCCCTCCCTCTTCACGCTCATTCTTCAAAGAATTGTTGTTGCTAAGTGCTGTTGTGTCTGTTCCGTGTCATAGTGACCTTGTATAGTTTCCAAGGAGCAACTGGTGGGTTTGAACTGCCGATATTGTGGTTTACAGTCCAGTGCTGATCCAACGGTGTCACAACCAGAGTTCTTTACTAGTTGGTAGATACGTTTATAGCTGTTAGTGTAAAGTAAACAAAAACTTAATTATATGCAGCTTACTGTGGACCTCATTCCTTTTTGTGTGAGTTCTAAATTTTATAGTTTTGTCTATTGCAGGCATATAATTAGCCATAATGTCAAATTGTCATAATTCCAATTTGTTTTTATCCTTATTTTTAAGTAAGGAGGTGTAAAATTAGACCTATATGTTTCACATTATTTTCTCACAGGTACTGTTTGGAAGTAAAAAGAAAAAGGAATATGATTGACCTAGATAAATTAATATAATTGTTAGAAGACTGAAGACATTTCAGGTCTATACCAATAGCAGTTCCTGAAGTAGCTATAGCTTAAAATTGGAACTCAACCTGGTATATGGAATAATAATCTAATCTTTATGGATGCTGTAATATGTCCGTGTTTTTGAGCATTCATACTTTAAAGCATGCATGCTTTAAACTATATTTTTTCTTTGATATCATTACCATTTACTTCAGCCAAAATAATAAAATTCCTAAAATATTTCCAGCCGTGTAAATCATATATTTTATTTGCTCTGTAGTTTAATATTTCATTGCAGAACAGAATGGGAGACCTTGAAGCAGGAAAGATCTTTATTCGAAAATGTGCTCAGTGCCACACAGTGGACAAAGGTGGGAAACACAAGACTGGCCCAAACCTCTGGGGCCTCTTTGGTGGAAAAACAGGACAAGCACCAGGATTTTCATACACAGATGCAAACAAAAACAAAGGTAAAAAGCAGGCAGGTAGGAAAGGACTAGGTACATTGTGACAAAGAAGGGAGCACGTGATTTGGCATTATAATCATTTCATAATTTGTAGCATTAGAAATGAAGTTCTTATTTATATTGCTGAAATCTTGGTTTATATTAAATTGGAAGACCTGCATTTGAGTAGCTAGTTACCTTTTTAATCAGAGGAATTCCCAGTATCATGTGGCATGAGTATTTGACTATACAGATACTTCTTTTATATGATAATTTATTGTTTAAATGTTGAAAAAGTTTCAGGTAAATTTTAAAAAGTTAAATCATATTTTAATGATATAATGATAGTTTTCAATTTGTAGCCATGATTCTTAGTGTAGGGTTAGGGAAATGTTATATAGTTTGAAAAGTATATTAAACAATTTCTTTGTAGGTGGAAAGGGAATAAATGGTACCTTTTCTTTTCTTCTCCCTCTACCAGTTAATTTTTTTGGTAATATTATTATTTGTAATTTTAATGACCATATTGATATTGTGAATAATATTCATATCCCTTTCTAATTTGACTTATTCACTTAAAGCAATATCTGTTTATCTTCCACTGTGAAGGATGAGAAAATTAAAGTGTTTATACAACCTCCTACTTATTGTTGTTGTTGTTGGGTGGTGTTATCAAGTCACTACTGGCTCATTCTGCACAGCAGAATGCACAGCAGAATGAGACACCTCCTGGCCCTGGGTTACCCTCACAGTCATCACTATGCCTGAGATCATCTCTGCCACTACTCTGTCCCAATCCATCTCATTGGGGGTGTTTATCTCTTTTTCTCTGACCCTCCACTTTCCCAAAAATGATATCCTTCTCCAGTGATTGGTCCCTTCTGATAATATATCTGAATGTTGTGGTCTTTGATCTTCATCAGTAAGTATTTTAAGTTTGGCCATCCTTGCTTCTTCCAAGGAGTACTCTGGCTGTACTTCTTCCAACACAGATTGGTTTGTTCTTTTGGCAGTCCATGGTACTTTCAGTATTATCCTCCAGCACCAAAACTCAAATGTGTCAATTCATCTACAGTGTTCCTTATTCACTATGAAATTTTTACGTGCATATGAAATTATTGAAAATACATGGCTTGAGTTAAGCTCACCTTAGTCCTCAAATTGACGTTTTTGCTCTACAACACTTTAAAAAGGTCTTGTGCGGCAGATTTGCCTCATGCAATATGTTGTTTGATTTCTTGACTGCTTGAGTGTTGATGATTAATCCGAGTTTGATCCAATCTCAGCTTCCATGATTGTTGATGATTGAGCCGAGCAAAATGAAGTCATTGACAACTTCAATCTTTTCTCCATTGATAAGAGTGTTCTTTACTCATCCAGTGGTGAGGATTTTTGTTTTCTTTACATTGACATGCAACTCATACCGAAGGTTGTGTTTTTTGATCATCATCAGGATTTTAAGTCATCTTCACTTTCAGTAAGCAAGGTTGTATCATCTGCATATCTCAGGTTGTTAATGTCTTCCTCCAATCCTGATGCCACTTTTTTTCTTCATATAATTCAGCTTCTAGGATTATTTGCTCAGCATTTAGATTGCATACGTATGGTGAAAGAACACAACCCTGACGCACACTTTTCCTAATTTTAAACCATTTGGTGTCCCCTTGTTCTGTTCAAATGACTGCCTCTTGGTCAGTGTACAGGTTCCTCATGAACACAAGTGTTCAGAAATACTCATACTTTGCAATGTTGTCCATAGCTTGTCATGATCCACACATTCGCAATAGCAAATCTTTGCATAGCCAGTTCCTACTTCTTAGTTTCCTCTTTTGTGACTTCCATTGTTCTTTCTACCCTGGCATGATATTTACATACAATGTAGCCATAATTGCCACATTTGTTTTAACATTTGTTCTGCATTTAAATGGTTGTTGTTGTGTGCCTTGGAGTCGGTTCCGACTCATAGCGACCCTGCACATCTTTACGGGAGCAGAAAGCCTCATCTTTCTCCCATGGAACAGCTGGTAGTTTTGAACTGCTGACCTTGAGGTTTGCAGCCCGATTCGTAATCACTACGCTACCAGGAGTATCAATACTTATTTTCAGAATGTATCACAGTGTCTTTATCTTTTGGTGGGTGACAGATTATCTGTTAGTAATTAATTGAAGAAAACATTATTGGAACCATATTACCTCATTTCTTAAATGTTTGAATCTGTGGATTCTTCCAACACAGATTTGCTTGTTATTCTAGCAGTCCGTGGTACTTTTAATATTCTCCTCCAACACCATAACTCAAATGCATCAATTCTTCTACATTCTTCCTCACTCATTGCCCTTCTTTAACATTCATATGAGGCTATTGAAAATATCGTGGCTTGGGTCAGGTATAATTTAGTCCTCAAACTGACATCTTTGCTCTTGAAAACTTTATTGATCTTATGCAATAGATTTTCCTAATGCAATACATGTTTAATTTCTTGACTACTTCTTCCATGAATGTTGATACTGGATCCAAGCAAAATGAAGTCTTTGACAACTTCAATCTTTCTCCATATCATGATGTTATATATTGGTCCAGTGGTGAAGGTTTTTGTTTTATTTACATTAATTTACACATACAGAAGGCTGTGGTCTTTGATCTTCATCAGTAAGTATTTTAAGTCCTCTTCACTTTCAGCAAGCAAAGATGCATCATCTACATATTGCAGATTGTTAATGAGTCTTCCTCCAATCCCGAAGCCATGTTTTTCTTCATATAACACAGTTTCTTGATTTTATTTGCTCAGCATATAGATTGAATAAAGATGGTGAAAAATACAACTCTGATGCGCTCCTTTCCTAATTTTAAGCTATTCATTGTTCCCTTGTTGTGTTCGAACAATTGCTTCTTGGTCTATGTACAGGTTCCTCATGAGTACAGTTAGTGTTCCAGAATACTCATTCTCTGCAATGTTGTCCATAGCTTGTCATGATCCACACAGTTGAAAGCCTATGCATTGTCAATCAAGCACAGGTAAACATCTGCCTGGTATTCTCTGTTTCAGCCAATATCAATCTAATATCAGCAATGATATCCATCATTCCATATCCTCATTTGAATATTGATCTTCCTTTGATTTATTTCTAATTTTATAGTATTGTGATCTGAGAAGATGCTTTGTAGTATTTTGATGCTTTAAAATTGATTGAGGTTTTCTTTGTGACCTAAGACATTGTCTATTCTGTAGAATGTTCTGTGTGCACTGGAAAAGAATATATATTGTGCTGATGTTGGATTGTGTACTCTGTATATCTACGAGATCAAGTTGGTTGATTGTGTTATTTTGTTCTTCTGTCTCTTTATTGAGTTTCTAGTTCTGTCCTTTATCAAAAGTGGTGTATTAAAATCTCCTACTGTTATTGTAGAGTTGTCTGTTTCTTTCTTTACCTCTATTTGAGTTTGATTTACGTATTTTGAGGCTCTTTCATTGGGGACATAGATATTTATTATGGTTATAGCCTCTTGTTCAATTAACTCCTTAATTGTGATATAATGTCTTTCTTTGTCTCTTATGATTTTTGCCTTAAAGCCTATTTTATGAAAGATTAAAATAGCCACTCCTGCTCCTTTTTGTATGCTATTATCTTTGTACCTTTCCCCCATCTTTTGCTTTCTAGTCTAGTTTTGTCTTTGTAAGATGTGTCTCTTGTAGGCAGCAGATCGTTGTTGTTGTTAGGTGCCATCGAGTCAGTACCAACGCATAGCAACCCTATGCACAACAGAACTAAACACTGCCCGGTCCTGGGCCAACCTCACTACTGTTGCCTCACTTGAGCCCATTGATGCTGCCACTTTGCCAATCCGTCTCGCTGGGGGGCTTCCTCTTTTTCTCTGACCCTCCACCTTACCAAACAGTCCTTCTCCAGCAACTGGTCTGAGGATGAGAGGATTAGAGACAGCAGATTAGAGGATCCTATTTTCCTATTAATTTGACTTCTCTGTCTCTTGATTGGTGCATTTAATCTATTTATATTCAGTAGTATTATAAATTGGTATGAATTGATTGCTATCATTTTGCTGGTTTTTGTGTGGTTTTGCTGCTTTCTTTGAATAATTTTATGAGCTGTATTCATTTTGCTTGTGGGTTTTCTTTTCATTTTAATTTCTGTTGTATTACTGTTTATTAAGTCTTTCTGAGTTTCCTGTTTTTTATTGTGATGCAAAAGTATATCATTTTCCTTTGTGTTTACCCTGTAATTTATTAAATTTCCCCCCATTTAACAAATCTGTTTCATCTTGAAATCTACTTGAATTGTTCACCATTTGTAAGTTCTATGTCTACAGGTTTCCCTCTTTTTGCATATAGTTGACTTCATTATAAATTGATATCTCTGGGTCCCTATTTTAAGGCTTGTAGGTATGTTATACTTTAAGTACTTCCATATCTGGATTGAATTCTGTGTGGGGTTGTCATGTATGTTGATCTTAGGTTTTTGTCTATTGTTGTTGGTTCTCAAGCTGAAGAACACTTTTTAGTATTTTTTGTAAAGTTGGTCTAGTTATTACAAATTCCTTTAATTTCTGTTTATCTAGAATGTACTTATTTCATTGTCATATTTTAGGGATAGCTTTACTCAATATTCTTAGCAAATTTTTTTTTTAGAGTTTTGTATATGTCATCCCATTGACTTCTTGCCTGCATGGTTTCTGCTCAGAGACCATAGCTCAGACTTATTGCTTCTCCTTTGTAGGTAAGTTTTTGTTTTTACTGAGCTCCTTTAAGGATTCTGTCACTGTCTGTGGGTTTTGAAAGTTTTATTATGATATGTCTTCATGATTTTCTTTTGGAATCCATCCTGTTTGAGTTTTGTTCAGTTTCTTGTATGCTTACCTCTTATCTTTGATGATTTTGTTGTTAAGTGTTGTTGAGTACATGCCAACCTATAGTGACCCTATGTAGAGTTTCCAAGGAGCAGCTGGTGAACTTGAACCACTGACCTTGTGGTTCAAACCAACTTTGTGACCCAGTGCTTATCCTTCA